TCTGAGGGACAACTTTCGGAAGGTGTACATTCGCAACAATCTGTCCAACGAAACACCCTCGACCTGGCGCTTCTACAATGACATGCGGTTCATGGAGCACGCCGTACACGAGAACATCATGCGGCAGACACGCAGCAGCAGTAAGAAGCACCCGCCAGGACACTGGACGGAAAACAACAATATAATGGACGAGAAATATGACGGACCCGCCGTGGCTACTGAGCCCATTTGTGAACTGAGCGATAGCTACGACTCGGAGCTGCACCAGCCCAGCTTCTCCGACATCAGCTCCTTCTTCGAGGACCGAGACTGCCTGCCAGCTCAGCCTCCGGAATCAAAGCGAATCAAACTGGAGCCCAGTCCCGCCGAAGAAGAGGATGACGACGACTTTGACGAGGATGCGGCCTCGGAGAACGAGGAGGAACGCACAAAGCGCAGCGAGGCTGTCAACACACCGGACCCAAGTCTGTTCACCATCGAAGTGCTGGACGACGATGAGGAGGAACTGGAGGTGTCCAGCTCCAATGTCAAATGCAAGACTAATGATACCTCCATCAATAGCCAGAGGAGTGAGCCCGATGTGAAACCGTCGCTATCCCAGTCCCAGTCCCAGTCCCAGTCCCCGACATCCGATTTACCCTTTAAGTACATAAGCATGGATGCAGCCACCAACACCGAGTCCTCTCTGGCAGAGCTACAGGACGATGCCGATCGAATGTTTCTTCTCAGCCTGATGCCCTTCCTGCAGAAGCTGGACGAGCGGCGGAAGCTGCGTGTGCGCCAGAAGCTCCAAAATGTCCTCATCGAAGAGTTGGAGTTTGGCTAATCTTAGTCTTAATCATTAGCCTGACTCTGTCCATTTTAAGCTTAGCTTACAGTATTATAAGCACGCGACTGATTAACACTGTGGATCTGCATTCATACTTAGCATGTAACCAGTACTCCTGCCCTCCTTTTAAGACACTTCACGCAGATACATACATATGTACATCATTTTTACACTTAATGTACCAAAATTCATAGACCCGTATCATTTGTACTTTTACAGGCGAATAGAAAATATACAAACGTTTAGCAAAGCGATAGATCGTCCAGCATCATTATTTTTGTCAGAGGATAACCTCATGCCTTACCTGTCTCGCATGGCCTGGATGGTACGGGCGCACCTGCGCAGGTAGCGGCCCTCAGTGCTCTGAAACATCGGGCTTAATTCTATAATAGTGCTGCTACAAATTTTTGTCAGTGCAAAACGAGTTCCTTAAGGGTGTTTGGGTCTTCTCTCTGGTCTGCTCTCCCCTCTTTCTTTGCCACTACCTTTGGTATCTGTCTCCATCAGTCTTTTCCCGCCACACACATGCGCCGTTAGTGTAAAGAGAATTCTCTCGCTTTGCTTTACTCTCCCGCTCTCTTGAGTACTCCATTCAGCGGCGACTACGACTTTGGGATGCCCTAAACCAAACATAAAATTTGGTATATTGAATAAATAGGAGGACTGGGATGTGTTTGTACAACAAAAATATATCTACGGTTTCGATTTCGATTTGCTTTAGTCATCAATGGTTTAATTGACAATATTTTAGCGATACCGTTTTGTTACAAGCAAGTCACAAACGGGACCACATTTTGGCTATGACCGCCGAAGAAGAGCATTGAATGAAAACAATAACGAGCACGCCAGAAGGGCAGCAGCGTCACTGCTGCGCCGGAGACAGAGTTTGCATCCAGTTTGAGCGTGAAGGTTGTAGATTTCGAGGAGTCCTAGTCCCTCGACACGCTAAGTGGGTCAGAAAAAGCATTCGGAAAACTAAACAAAACCACGCGCAGCGAGCAGCTTCAAGTGAAAAGCACGCCAAAGTAATAAAAATAACGGACGCGCAAATTTTTAAATAAGAAAAGAAACATTTCTACATGATGTGGGTTGTATACGGCTGCACGAGGGTATTTCCACAGTAGTCGTCACAACTAGCAACTAGAAACAACAACTAAGTTCGGGAAAGTGTACTTAAATAGTTCTTGGCTTGAGCGTGTCATACATTCTCAAACAATATCGATAGCATCGATATCCTGTTTTCTGTGTCGGATCTGAGAAAGTGAAATAATTTTTGTTTGCAAGTGGAAAAGCCTGCGAGGTGCTGACTTGAGAGAAGTGTAGAAAAGGAGAGAAGGAAATTATGTATGAGTGATGAGATTTTTGGATTGTATTTCTCGCTCCTACATACGATGTGAATGAATCTCAACGAGTATTATATACCCCTGTACCCACAAGAGTACCCTGTAGAAAAACAGACGCCAAAAAATCGACTTCTTAAGGGCCCCTAGCGGGAAGTTATTTGTAAGTTGATGTGACTGTTTGATAAAACAGCTCCTCTATTTGTTCCCTGTTGGCCAGTGTTTAACATCAGGCACTACCCTCTTGTATGTGGGGCGCATTTGGCTGCAGTTCTTTGCGGCATAAGTGAAAATAAATAAAAGATAAAAATGTGCACATGAGCATAAATGAGAGAGAGAGTGTGAGAGCGAGAGAGTCACAAGACCCCAGTTGTGTGCGTCAGTGTTGATAATATTTGTTGTCAAATAATGTTTGTAATCGAATAAAGCTAGATTTGGACAAGGAATTTAGAAAAAAATCTAGCTCCAAAAAAGCTAAATAAAATGAATATTGTCAAAAATGTACAAACAAACATATAAGGATATATTATATTCGATATAGCCATGAGATAAACAGATATTTGTAAGAGATCGTGCACTGGACATGTTTAATTTGGAGATTCAATAAAGCTAAAATGCCAGCGCTGGTGTGTGTGCTGTGCTAAAAGCGAATAAGAGCGTGAGAGAGCAATTGCGCGCGCACATCAAAATCAAAAACTATCTGCGAGATACATTTGGGGTTTATTTTATTTTATTTTTTGTTTAGCTAGATGAAGAGCAGCAGAGACAGAAGCAGAATCTGAATCGGTACCAGAATCAGAATAAGCAAAAGCAACAGAACAGAAAGAGCACCACGCACTCGCAGAGAAGAAGAGAGAAATAGAGAGGGAAAGAGAAAGAGAGTCGAGCGCTGACACAGTATTTGTTGTGTTTTTAGTCAAATGTATCGTTTAGTCGGAAAAAGGAATACACGAATGTCGGAGCGAATGAATGTGCACGGGCAAGCAAATTACGCATAAGATCTCTGGGTGACTCGCTCGAAAAAGAAAAGCGACAAATCTCTCACAATATTAAATCGCAAAGAATACCACAGAAGAATCGCGAATAAGAATTAATAGAATCAATTCCCGAATCGAATCAAAGAAAATTAACATCAGAATCAGCGACGAGTCAAATTCGGGTTTGTCGGTTGTGTCGGGCCGGAGACTGAGGCGACCCATTGAATTGAAGGTGTGCAGTTCCGTTCCACAGCGGCTTGCATGGATGTGGCTGCTGAAAAAGGTGTGTACTAATAACGGAGAAGAAAAGAGTGCTTAAGATGGCGAGGGTGGGAGTGGGGGTGCTAGGAAGGGTGATAGCATTGGATTGCCTTGGATTGAATGAAAATATTGATTTTAATTCGTCTAAATATCAAGATTCTCAAGACTTCTCTCATCTCGATGGGTTTTCAGTGTTCGTTTTTGTGTTTTCTGTATGGCGAGTGTGTGTGTGTGTGTGCCGCAGGAACGAAAACGAACCACCTACATATATAGAGACTTCTTGTATAAATACAACCCTCATCCCCTTCCCGGCACGTTTTTGCGTCGTACCCACACACATATACACCCCAACAAACACACACTGATATGATACAGTCGTTGTAGTGGTGTGTCTGTTTGTGAAAGGACTTTAACTTCTTGGTCATGTTTTTTCCCCTTCTGAGGCTCTGCGACTGCGACAGACCCGTTTTCAATGGAAAATGTTCAAGGGTGACAAGGGTAGTTTCTCTTCGTCTACACGGCACAAAAATATCCTTGAAACGCATCCCATTTCGGGGCGTTGCATGGATCGGAAGAACCAGATGAACTTGAGTCTACATATGTACATACATACATACATACATACATCCTTCTTTCGTTGATGGCAAATCCACCAAAACCCGTCCCGCCAACCCTTGCAGTTATGCTATAAATTAACTCGAATTACCAAATATAAAAACAGAAAAAGCAAAACAAGTTCCTTCTTGGTCCTTTTTCTTCGAGTGTATAAGTAACCGTTTCCAATGCCACTCTGCCGCTCTGCCCCTTCTCCAGCTCTTCCTCGTCCGGCTGTTACCAAGAGAGGGGATGAAAGTCGGTCGGTCGGGTCGGATCGGTTGATTGGGCGAACGATGTGGATGGCCCCGTCTTGAAGATGGCAACCAGTCGTTCGTCGTTTTATTGCGTTTTCGTTTTGGGTTTTCCATCCACAAAAAGCCGCTAGCTGGCGCATTTCAGGAGCATGAACAAGAGGGTGTGTAGGATTGGTGTGGAATGGGGAAGAGGTGGTGTTGGTGGAGTCGAAACAACAGGAAAATGCTAGAACTACGCAATGAGATTTGAGATTACTGCACAGTGCGAGTATATGGGGGTGGGTTGAATTAAGTTCAGTTCCTTTTCACACTCTCCCGTATTCCTCCTGTTTTTTATTTTTTTGTTTTGGGGATGGTGGGGTTTGGTCTCCTTTATTTGGGTTACCAAGCTTGCACACAAGGAGTAGGAGTAGGAAGAATTTGCGATTTGGGAGTACAGCCAGGACTGCACGTAAATCGATGGATTGCGCGCCATTTTGGGTCTTCTTCAGGACAAAAGGGCTCATAAATAGGGATATGCGTGGCGAATTTTAAATTCTAAATTCCAATTCCTGGATTCGTGCCGACAGCGGGATATCTCATAATACGTACATATGTATGTGTGTACATATGTATGTATCATAAGGCTGCACGGCAAGCAAGAAAAAATCTGACCTGCTGCCTCTACAGTTCGCGCCACACATCTGCTCGGGTCTCGTTTTACGAATTTGGGACGCACAAGGGAAAAGGGATCAAGGATCAGCGCCTTGTAAGTAGGCACAATAGGGACGGACAGGACAGGAAAATTGAAGACGAAAAGGCTGAGACTGAGTTTTTCCGGGCTACCTAAGCTGCAGGCCCAGACCCTGATGCAGCTGCAACTGAGAAATCCTGAAGGATGCCTTCTCTTTCCTCTCTTCGGACTACTTAATGCACGTCATCGGTTGTGGCCAAATTAGTTCGTTGCCTCCTCCCGTCTCCTGACAACGTCTCGCGCGTTCCAAACGCAGTTAGAAACCGAAGTCGAATCAAAGACTTACCACCATTATCTCTGTCACATAGAAACGTAAAACGTCTGGGAAATTCGATTAAATTTTCCTCATCTCGCGACGATATTTGCAGCGTAAAACTGTCACTCATCTACTTCAAAGGGCCACGCCTGCAACTACGACCAGGACTACCATTACGCTTGTGCTAGAAAAGTGATCTCAAACTATCTTATGATGGAACTCTTGTCAAACAATTCGGTTCCGCAACAAATGGCCAGCAGCAATACGGCCAGCGCCAACGGTGTTGCGTCCTCAAATGCCAACGGCAGCGGGGGCAGTGTCAGCAGCAACGCCAGCAACTCCTCCGAGCGCCTCCTGGCAGGCATACTGGAGTCGTTTCCCGCCTGGGACCTCAACGTGGGACTGCTGCCCAATGTGGGGCAGAGGTGAGTACCAGAACGGTGACACAAAAGTTGCAGCAGTAACAATCTCTTTGCTTCTTGAAGCTCGCCGCCTCGCACGGACTTCTTCATCAATAACTTTCTGGGCGGACTAGACACACATGGCGACTTCAGCATCGGACCCATTGGCAGTGGGCCGCGCAGTAACCCGAAGATGTCGCCAGAGTCTTCCAACAACTCGAGCATCAGCTGCGGCTGGTGCGAGGTGAGCGCCTCCATACGCTGCCTCGAGTGCAACGAGTTCATGTGCAACGACTGCCTGAGGGAGCACCGCAACAGTCCGCTCTCCTCGAACCACTCAATCGTGTCGCTGCCGACACCCATCGGGGCCTCGCCCACAGGCGGCGGCTCGACCAACGCCCACACGCCGCCCAGCTCCAACTTCATCTGCGACATTCACAACGAGATGCTACGCTACGTGTGCGACTACTGCCGCAAGCTGGTGTGCCAGTGCTGCACCCTACACGAGCACAAGGAGCATAGCTACGCATCCATCCAAAGTTTCATGGTCGGCTCCAAGGAGAAGCTGGAGGGGGCCATTGAGAGCAGCCAGGTGGGGACGCGCTGCATCAAGAGCAGCATTGACAAGGCCCTGGCCTTCATCCGGCTCATCGAGCGCAACTGCAGCGAGCTAAGCGACAACATACGGAAGGCCTTCCGTCAGTTCATCATTGCCATCGAGGACCGCGAGCGTTTCCTGCTCGACTTTGTGGAGAAGCTGCGCATGCGCCGTCTGGCCATCCTCCACGACCAGATGGCGGGCCTGAAGTCCGCCCTGGCCGGCCTCTCCGAGACCTCCGACATGCTCAGCAAAGTAGCGGACAATGCGCTGAGCATGGACCAGATCGAGATAGCCATGAAGCTCACCAATGGACAGCGCCAGATGGAGCAGTTTGCCGGCATCTACAAGGATCTGCAGCCCAAGCAGGAGGTCTTTGCCTTTGCCCCACCCGACTACAGTCTGCTGCAAGATATCAGAAACCAGGGTGGCGTCATACTGGTCGACGACAAGAACCTGCCCATTGTCACTAGTACCAGCGGCATCGTGCCCAGCGTCTCCAATGTTAACGCCGTCACCGCCGCCTCCGTGGGCATCGGAGGAATCGGAGTCGGAGTCGGAAATGGCGTTGGTGTTAATGTCGGTGTCAATGTCGGCGTCGGTGGCGGTGTTGGTGTCGGTGTGGGTCCTGGCAATGGAATGGACTTGGCCTTTGGCATCGGGAGCATTGCCAACAATCCGTTGAGCGTGGCCTCCTCGAATGTGCGTCGTCCACTGCTGCGGGACAACAGCTTCCGCATACCGTCGCCCATAATGCAGCCGCGTGGCGGCAGTGCCTGCGGCATGACTAGCGCAGCCCTGGACTGGGAGCTGAACGGACTGCGAAGCTCGCCAGGCCTTCACTTCAGCGCTCCTCGAACGACGCAGGCCATACCCGGCTGTATGGATCTGGTAAAAGTGCGAAACTCCAACTCACTGTCGCTGTCGTTTGCCACCGAAGGACACGAGGATGGGCAGGTGAGCCGGCCGTGGGGTCTGTGCGTGGACAAGATGGGCCATGTTCTGGTCTCGGATCGCCGCAACAACCGTGTGCAGGTCTTCAATCCAGACGGCTCGCTCAAATTCAAGTTCGGACGCAAGGGCGTTGGCAACGGGGAGTTCGACCTGCCCGCCGGCATCTGTGTGGACGTGGACAATCGCATCATTGTGGTAGACAAGGACAACCACCGCGTGCAGATCTTTACGGCCAGCGGCGTCTTCCTCCTCAAGTTCGGCAGCTATGGCAAGGAGTACGGCCAGTTCCAGTATCCGTGGGATGTGGCAGTAAACTCGCGCCGCCAGATCGTGGTCACCGACTCGCGCAACCATCGCATCCAGCAGTTCGACTCCGAGGGACGATTCATACGCCAGATTGTGTTCGACAACCATGGCCAGACGAAGGGCATCGCCTCACCCCGCGGTGTCTGCTATACGCCCACGGGGAACATCATTGTATCCGATTTTGACAACCATTGCCTCTATCTAATCGATCCCGACATCAATGACGTGAGTACCCTTGAGCTACGCCAATTAGAAATGAATATTCATCATTTAATTCTTTAACAGATTCTTTCCGTGAAGGGACACGAGGGCTCGGGCTTCCATGAGTTTAATAGGCCCTCGGGGCTGTGCTGTGACGACGAGGGCCGCATTATAGTGGCCGATTCCAAGAATCAACGCATCCTGGTCTTCAACCAAAATCTAGACTTTATGTGGGATGTAAGTGGCTATCCATATCTCATCTTCTATCATCCTTGCTTTAAATTTGAACGAACGACTGACTTATGTATGTATATTTTGTTTTTCAGATCGAGGTGCGACCCTCTATCAACCCACTAATGCCACCGACGCTGGACGAGAAGGATCGTACGTGCGATGTGGCCATGATGCCAGACGGTCGCATCGTATTCCTCATTGAACTGTCGCCAGACTCCAAGGAAGGGTCTAACCCTTACAAGCGGTTTGTGCACGTATTCTAAATAAGCTTATAGCCGTCAAATGGACTGGGAGGGGAATACGAATACGAATACCAATCTTTTTTTAGACCATTTACAAGAGCTAAACGTTAGCGTAGTAGAGACATCCAATCCAAAAGAAACAAAACAAAACAAAACACTAAAATAACTATAAAAGAAAAAGAGTAAATCTGAATTGCGAGCAAGGAAAATTAGAAAAAATTTTTAGCTTAAGTGCTACAACGATTACCTCGATAATGCTTAAGAGTTATGGTTACGATTTGGTAATTTACAAAATACTATACGAATTACACATATGTATGTATACCGATATGGATATATACATATATATATCTGTATATCTGTATGCGTGTTTAAGCGTATATGTATCTAGCGAACATACAAAAACCCAACCCAACCCAGCCACCCAATTAGGTTTAAAGCGAAGAACAACAGCAACAGCGGATGGGTAGGAAATACATACATAAATATGTAGGAGATATACATACATATGTATAAAACATTATTTGGTGAAGGATCCATGGCGTTCAGTGCGGTAGACTCTAGTGAACCAAACAGATAATGAAGGCAGAGCAGGACACAACAATAAGGATTACTAGATGAAAATATTACTACCTGTTAGTTAGACTGAAACGCAGTTCTCTAGCTGGTCAAGGGGAGAAGGAGGAATCAATCGAAAGAAGGCGAAGTGCGTTTTTATCGGGGGTTGCTTAGCTGAACTAGAACTACTAAATAAGATTTTTGTTTCTACGAGAGTTACTATAAATTAGTTTGCAGACAAATTGTTTAGAATGGTATTAATGTTTGTATTATTATCTTAGTTTGTTTAGTTCCGTTTAGAGCTATTTTTTTCATTTATTGTGCATATGCACGTTGATAGGTTTTTTAAACGTTTATTTTAATTGATTATTTTACAAATAATTTTCTTATAATTGAGACTGAGCAAGTGAGTACACGAAACTTTGTAAAAGGAAACAAAGCAAAACAAAACAAAACAAACAAAAAATCGAATCGAAAGAAAAGAGATGAAAAACAAGAACAAAACAAAAACAAATATTAAGAAAACCCGCTGACTTTTTGGTTGAACTTTTAACAAAGACTGATTAACTAAACCGCAATTTCGGAGCCAACTGAAGAGCCATTTATGGTGAGGCCAAAAAAAAGTGAAATGAAAATCACAAAAACACACACAGACAAATTGCAATGACATTGATAACGTAAAGTAACTTAACTTAGCATAACACTCATACATACATGCAAGCATACATATATTACATATATATATATTTAAATATATATATATAGAGAGATCCACATCCAGTCACGGTCACGGTCGCATCATGAATCATTATAGGCATAGCTAAACCGAGTTTAACTGACATTCACATACATGCATACATATGTACATTACATACAATCATTTCATCCTACATTCATCACAGGGATTTTGGATTCGAAAATGGATTCGAATGAAATGATTCCCCCACAGGGTACAACCAGAAGAGTGTTAGAGTTAGCTAAAGGAATGACAACAGAAGAGGGGATAGCGGGAAAGGTTGCTTGCAGAAGAATGGAGGAAACAACAAAATGAAAAAAATTATCATAATTTTTGACTCAATGTGTTCATTAGCATTTAGTAGATTTAACAGGCGTGACGACGTAGTGGAGGCATATGAAGAATCCAGAGCAATATATGGGCGTATTGAATACACATTTAGGTGACATGTTCCTCGCAAACAAAAACATAACAAGAAAACAAATGAAACTTAATGAAAGCTTAAGAAAAGGGAAAGTAATACCACAACAGAAGGTAAATGCATGGATTAGCTGAATTTTGTGTGAGATGAGATTTTAATAGCAAATATATAGTACAGTACACACATAGAATCGACTAGAAAAGATCCTGGGTGGGCCTGGATCTATACTTGGCACCTGGAACCTGGCATAAGTTGCAATGCGTGATTAGAAAGGCGCTTAAAATGTATTAGCCAACTTAGTTACTTAGTTTATTTTTATGTTCTCAATGTTTAAAAATGTTCAATTCTATTATATTTGTGTTTTAACCCGGATTCAGAACCTGATCAAACCAGAGCAAAAGCGAAAGCAAGAGACAGAGAGCGAGAGCGAGAGAGAGCGAAAGAGATAGTACCAGAATGTGTGCAAGGGAGAGAAATATAGCTAACACTCCTTCCACGTATAAAGCAACATTGCATAAAATGCGCAAAAAACCAAGAAACAAGTGAAAACCCATAAAAAAAAAATATTTAAAAAATCCCTACAAATACACTCTAAATAATATTAAAGAAAAATTAAAAAAATGATGCAAAAATGCCAGATTTGCTCTACGAGAGGAAAGGCAACAAAAACATATACTTATACAATATTTATACATATACAATACATATATACACGACAGAACAAAGGGAAACCTATTATATAGAGCTATATAGAATAGAAATCGTAATTATTTTACACCTTAGTTTAGGCAGCCCCCTCGAGTCCTTGAGTCCTTGAGTCCTCGAGCCCACACGAAATTGCCATAACATAACATGACACAACCTCACCTCATTTTATTCAATCGAACATACCTTGACGCGCCGTTCATTTCTTGTGATCCAGATAGAATCATTCACAACCAACAACCACATACAAATCACACAAACAAAGAAAAACTCACGCCAGACCACTCCTGCATGTGTATGTGCGTATATATCATATATGCACATACCATACATACATATATGTACATATGTACATATAGTATACCGTCTAGCGACGTTTGAGAATGCCATATTTTATACTATTTGTGTGAGGTTTACTAAAACAAATACTAAAGAACAAATACTTATATCATTACAAATGAGCGCCGTTTTCTAAAAGCCACAGTTTAGAAATTGTGTAAAAAATAAATGAAACTGCACTAAAAACAAAAACAAAAAACAAAAAACAAAAACAAACAAACGAACCGAATAAGGAATCAAATTATTGAGATTTAAGCGAATACAGAATGCCATAATTTAAAATAAAAAGCATTTAAACATATACATATGTATATACTATATCTATAGAGTACTCGTACTAAAGTATGTTAAACAGAAAATGAAGAGAACACTAAAAGTCATGAGAATACTGAACAATTTGCCAAAGGCTTAAGAATCAAAACGAAAACGAGGGAGCGTAAATATAATATACACATAATACACACAAATATAAAACACACACTCACACAGATACAACAAGAGTTAATTAAAACTTTTACAACATTACCATACCAAAAAATAGTACTACATTTAACTTGCAGTCAGGTATTTTATTTTGACATATTCCAAACAACCAAACAAGTTGACCCAACCAACATCCACACCAACACCAACACCAACACCAACACCAACACCTACCTAAAACTAATTCTATTGTAATGAAAAACAACAAAAAATTGCTCATATACACATAGCTACTAACTAAACTAAAGTATATGTTGTATACTATACTAAAAACGAATCCAAAACTTAAATCAGGTATTCATTTTTTTGGTATTACGTACATATTTAGCGATTAAGAACAGCGAAACTTAAAACAATTACTCAATGACTAAGGATCCTTCGATATGTGCGGCCAAGCGAAACACCGCTAGAAGATTTCCAAAAACAAAACGAAAGCGAGCACAAAATAAGAATTCGACACGAAAACATATTTATGTATAAACAAAACCCGTTTTTTTAACAAATCGATTGTGAAATTGATGCTTAAGCAACCAGAAATGAAATGAACTCTTATATCAAAATACAATTTTGAGTCAAATTTTTTAGTGACAATGCCATTCTTGGTTAGCGCAGAGAAATGATTTCATAACTATACTTAAATCAATCTACTTACATATTAAATACACCATAAATACATACATTCATCGCGCATATTTTGTCAAGATCATTTAGCAATTAAGTTTGTAACAAACTTCAAAATGCAAAACAAAAATCCAATAAGTGTATCTAAAATCGAAAACATTTCTTATTTGGCAATGCAAAATTGATTTATCTTACTTTACTATTAGATTGGACATTTCCAAATTTCGAATTATACATACATACATACAACATACATACATAAATAAATACTAACATATGTTATAATTATGGAGCAATTGAGTACAAAACGAGTACAAATTTAAACTTTAAGCCACACCAGACCAGACTAGACTAGACTAGACTAGAGACGCGACGCTACGAGACGATTTCACAGTTGAACTTTTATTTAAAGCATCAAACTTAAAATTTAAATTTAAAACAGAACAGAACAGAATTCACAGAAAAACAGAGAGAGAGAGAGAGAGAGCGAGAAAGCAGAACGAGCAGAATCGAACAAGAAGCATAAGATAAGCCAGATACTGGTTTCGCATACGAAATACTAATTAAATCAATTTACTTGCATCTTCTATTCATGGAAGATGTACACCAAAATCGATGCGATAGCTAAGCGAGAAACTTACTAGCCACGTACATACATACATATGCATAAAAATAATACTTAAATAGTTACTTAAACATAGACTAAACCGAATATACTAAACCTAGAGAAAACGAGAAACCGATTACCAAAAATCCCTCCTTAAACCTTTTAATTATAATTTGCTTCGCGATAGAGAAACCACAGAGATGCAAACACAATTTCTCAAAAACATTCTCACCCATAGCATGCATACATAAATATGTACTAGGTACATGCATACATACATACATACATATACTCATGTATATATATATCGTACATGCATATATGTATATATTATAAGCTGATAATTAAGCCGCAGGGCGAAAAAGTCTAAAGAAAATCTACCAAAATCAAGCGACAGATTGTAATACAATAAAAGAGTTGCAGTTTAAAATTGTAATTGTCTAATAGTGAAAAGCGGAAAGGGAAACAACAATACCATATATGTACATCGTGGATTGTCATTTTTCTATATACACGCATACACATACATATTTATATACCTAAATATATGTATATATGTATATATACTATATACATGCATAGATCTGGGTAAGACAAGAGTAAGAGTATATTTTATACGATAAACAAATTTTATAACATATTTAATAATAAATTATACACTAATAATTGTGGACATATCCTGTGTTCTTTTTTCTGCACTCGATGGAATCGGTGAAAAGTTTTGGGGGAGACAGGAAAAGTAATTCCAGATATTTATTTTATTTGAATTTATTTTCCAGTTCCTACTCTGTCGACACTGGTCAATATTCAGCACAGCAAGCAATGCCCTATTTAGGTAAAAGTTTTCAACTAATCCCATTATGCCCTTGGCGTATCTAACAACTGTTTTGCGCCAGGAGCACTCATCTAAATTTGGGAAATTTTCTAACCAGCGTACATAGGTTAAGGTTGGAAACATTTCATTATATGCATGTAATATAATTGAATAAAATATTAGTGCCGCGCCACACAATTTTTACAGCTATTTTTGAGACCCTTCCCGTCTTTCGAATAGAACAAGTGATACCTTTTTGGAAAGCCTTAAAATTTACACATTGAACCCAGAAAGAATCCTGGAACATTTGCATTCCATCTTCTTGTTTTATATGACTTTAGAAAAATATCCATGAAAAATGCAGTTCAATAAAATAGTAGTTATACCCGGTACTCGAAGAGTAAATAGGCTATATTGTATTTGTGCGAATAATGGTTGTATGTAACTCACAGAAGGAAACATTTCCGACCCCATAAAGTATATATATTCTTGATCAGCCGAGTCGTTAGAGCCATGTCTGTCTGTACGTCTGTCCGTCCGTCCGTCTTGTTTGTCGGCTAGTTCTCAGAGACTATAAGAGCTAGAGCCGCCAAATGTTGGCTCCGAACTGCTGTATGCTCACACTAAAACCAGTGTATTTAAAAAATTAGCCCCGCCACCTTCCACCCACTCAAAAGGGCAAAAACCTACCAAATCAACAGTATTGAAAGATAAAAGAAAACTAAAAACCGTAGGGAATGACATTGACTATGAGATCAACAAATTAGCCACAATGAAGAAATTAATTTCCAGTGGCTAAACCCACCCCGTCCCACAGATTATATTAGTGCCTCTTATATCTGCCTCTGCCTCTGCCGCGTCTCTGCCCTGACTCTGCAGTGTGTGGCTCTAGGGGAGGGCGTGTTGGCGCGAGTTGTGTTGTTGATGCAGATGACAGATGAAGAAAAAATGTAAACTTTAACAAATAACCGCTAAGGTGCAGATGTGGTACTGAGTGCCGGGTATAAAAGTAGTGACGCGTAAAAAGCGTCTCACACGTCCCTTCTCGTTTTTTTTATAAAATTAAAAAAAAAACAACGAAACTGGAATTAATGCATATGTTTCATGTTCTATGTGTGTTCTCGAGGGTTATTAAGTAGTTTTTAATCAAATTTGTTTTCACTAAATAAGGTACCGCCCAAACTTAAATAGGATCTGAGACTATAATACACCTTGGCAAAACTGTGCTCTGCTTGACGGAATTATAATCGTAATAACACTAGAGACTGAGCTAGACATGGAAAAGTGTCGACCTTTTGGATGAAATTACCTTCCTAGCTAGCTTTCTTGAGTGTTTGAGATCATTATTTTGTTGAAAGATCCTTTTGAGAGGAATTTTTCGATAGTAATATTACTGCATTGTATTAAAACGTATGCTGGCACGCACAACTTTATGAAACACGTCAATACCAGGCTGGGAACTAAGAGTTTCTATGGGCTGTAGCTCATAGGGGTCAACCCAATATTGAGCATGTTGTTTTTTTTTCAAGAATTTGGGCAGTTATAAAATATCTGTGAACGACAAAAAAATTCTTTTGAGTCTTCCTTACCACATAAAAACAACTTTACACTCATCTGCCTCATGTCCTCATTTTTCAAAACATGTGTCGTGAACCCATGTGCTTTTATTCCCAAACGCGTAGCTTCCGGGTACCTCTTGCAACTAAATAATGTGTAATCAGTCTATTATTAACTGTCAAAACACTTTCAGAGCGATATAAAATTGTTTTCATAACTTTTGAGGATATAGAAGAAGGAACCATCTTCCATTTACTAAAGGACAATTTTTTCGCCAAAAATATCATTTTTCGGGAGTCTTTTTTTTAGTTGAACCGGTTAAATATAACAGTAAGGGCACATCTAACTTAGTTTCGAATTCCATTCTACCTCCTGATTTTAGTTTTTAGTCTAATTCTTAAGTCTCCCATATTGGACCGTTCAATGATTACTTCTACGCTCCAAAAACAAAAGTAGCGCTATTATATTCAAACATTTCTGTCATAAATATATTCAATATACATATTAAGCTTACTGCTGGTAACTTTTTTGAATTGATTTGATTTGTTTTAAAATTTGTTTTAATACTTTCACCCAGCACTTCTATGTTATTGAACAGCAGTTTCTATGGGTATTTTTCTAAAGTCATGTTAAACAAGAAAATGGAATGCAAATGTTCCAGGTTTCTTTCTGGGTTCTAATGTGTACATTTTAGGCTTTCCAAAAAGGTATCACTTGTTCTATTCGAAAGACGGGAAGGGTCTCAAAAATAGCTGTGAAAATTGTGTGGCGCGGCACTATTATTTCATTGAACACAACTGTATGTACCATCCATGTGCGACGCAGAAATAAGATGCTGTCATTGTCAAATAAGAGCTGAAAGTCCATTAGAATTCCAAAAGGAATGAGCTAAGCTAAGCACTGGTGCATAATGAGATTTTTATGAATAAAGCCGAATGAGGTGAGCGTCAATTGTCTCTGCACTGGGAGAAAAAAGTGAGAAGGTGAGCAGCGAGAGTACGTAGAACAAAGTGTGGTGAAGTACGTGTAATTTGAGCTTTGGACGTTGCGTGACTTGAAAATTGGTGAGGGATTTCATTCATTTGGAAATACTTCAATTCACTTTTTCGCTACCATTTGCTATGCCGGGCATAAAGTTGAGCAAACTGAGCACAAGTCAAGATCCAAGCTGGGTTAACTATTGATATCTGGAACTTGTAGAATCCAGTTCAATTTATGATCTCCCTGGCGGGGAACACGCTTATGTGCTCCACCTATAATCTGATGTCGGGCAGATGGCCTTAGACGCCGGCTTTCTTGGTCAGTGATAGATGCTGTCAGACGCGACGTCCAATACGAGTAGCACTCATACAGAAATAAGCTATTATCCGTAACCGGTTATTTGTTAGTTTTACTATTCACTGGTGTGCTGTTACGGGGAACGGAGTAGGCAAATGATTACCGAAGGGATGGATGATCTTTAACCCACTTCATCTCGTAGGCATACCACTTTGTATGCCCATCAATCATCATCACCTTTCGTCATTTAATTAGTTGCAACCCTACGCAGAATCAGTCAAGTCAAAATTGTAGTCTCGTGAGCAAACAAAGATCAAAAGAAAACTGGAAAAGCCACCGTATAGCCCCATTCGCATTCGCACTCGCAGCCAACTCTGAGAAAGCCAGTGTGCACAGGGTACGGGTTAGATTGGATCATAATATTAACTGGTCTCCCGACTCAGGCCAGAGCCAACCAGGCGCATACGTGTTTCGAGCGTGGCCGCGTCAAGTGAATCTATGAGTATTCGAATCCGACAGCGCGTCTCTCATCGCCATCGACTAGCCTGGTGCGTGCTTCCAAGATTTCAATACGATTGGTTTCGAACCACTTTTGTTTCCCAGTAGCGGGAGTGTGCGCCACGATGGCGACAGGTTGCGCATACCAATAGGAACGGCCAGCCGCCAGAGTCTAATTAAAGCACGCTCTATGTAAGCCTGCACCACTGAAGTTGGTGCCGAGGCCGAACAGTGAACAGTTGGCGAGTGCAATGGTCCGGTACGGTGCTATACCGATACCACCTCTGTCCAGGCGTCTGCGGAACAGTTGCTGGCAGAGCGGACTCAGTTTATGGCTGGCCTTTGCTTTGGCTGTTATCGTGCGCGCAGATTTGAACAGATTAAGCCAATTTCCAAGTACCGGACGCATATTATTTAATCTTCTTAGTAACTTGACTTGACTGTAAAAGGGGCTGCAATCGGGCACAAACGCTGGGCGGGGCAGTCTTGGCTATTAAGCAACACACAGAGTTGACAATTAATTGGCCCGAGATGCTGCAACGAAAGTGAAACTGGAACTAAAACTAAAACTAAAACTTGTATACGTATACGTACTACCATATAATTTTGTACACACATATGTACATATATGAAGTGCGATTATGTTGTCATACAGAAACGTGATCCGAGACCCAAATGAAAGTGGTGAATACTCGAAGTAGTGCTAAATGCGTGCCGTCCATTTGCTGGAGTGGATATTGTGCAATAGTAAATGACCCAAACGACATTTTCGTGTGGCTCGGAGTGTGCCATGTTTGAACTTGAAATTTATTATTGGGTGTTGATACTCTTATGCTGTCGTTCAATACAAAATACACACAGTGCACTTGAATCACATGTGTCAGCTAAGGCCAACCCTCGACTCGAGGTCCTGCATGCCAATACCTAGACAAGTGTCTCGGAATTTGTACACCTTAAATTGATTTTCCCATTACCGTCAGTGGTCGAGAACTGAATTTATATGCTAAATTAATTATTCAATATTTACTTTTTGCTTGCTTTTGCTCTTTTTGCATGGGAATACCAACAGATTTCCTGATTTAATAACTGCAAGGCAACTGTCTTGTGTTTTGCATCGACAATAATGGGGGACAATGTGACAAAGCCATTTGACAGCGATTCCGACCAATCAACAAATGGTAAGCAATTATTTTCTTCAGCGGACTGTTGTGTTTTCTGATTGATTTCCCATTGTAGCCGCAGGAGATAGGACGATATCGACGGTGATTGACATTGGTAAGTCTGATTGATGATTGATTATTTTAAAAGGCCACTGTAATGGTCAATCATCAAAGTACGATCAGGACTTTATTAACTAAGATTAACCAGAATCCTAGTAAATGGGGGAGTTATGCAGGTATCTCTATCTTATCCGAGCGGAATACTTGATAGAATAGATAGAAAGACCGGATTACATTTCCAATTGTTTCGAAGCCAAAAACAAGCAAAGCAAGTCCGGTAAGGATAAGTTCATTTTAATAATATTTTGTCTTATCCTTCGTTGGGCTAATTCACCATATTTGCTTTTTTCTTTGTTTCTTTGCATAGTGCTCAAAGTCGCATGTCATGCTGACTATTTGTCGTGTATCTGTCCGAATTTGTACGTAGTCATCATAAGGGAGCAATAATGAAAGGGAAGGCACAAGAAAAACTAAATCACATACTACATATGTACATATATAGGCGAAAGGGGAATACTTTTTACAGCTGCCTAAACTGTGTTAGATGAAACTAATTTTGTCCGAGAATAAAGTTTTAAATGCTCCAAACATGCAGCCCGATTAGTTGTTATCAGCTCAAAATCCGACAACAAAAGTACTTATGTATGTATGTATGTACATATTTACATACATGTTTATGTACATAATAAGTACATGTATAGCCATAGCCAAGCGCTTGTGTATTTGCTGATAAAAGTCGGTTGTCGAATATATTTTTGGCCCGTTGTAGAACAGTTGACTCAGTAGCTGCCGGCATTTGTGTTGAAAAGGTGTGTTTCTAGAGTGAGCGATAAACAAAAAAGTGATATAAACAAGAAAAGTGTTTCCAGAAAACAGTACCTTTTTTTCCCGGTAGCCACATTTCTGCTCTTTTTGCGAGTTATATTTATTTAAGTATACAAATGTGTAAGCAGCGCAGGCCATAGTCAAATTAAACAGAACAACTGAATCAACAAAATACCAACAGCCCTAAAAATTAATATTCGTGGAATTGCGCAAAATTTTAACGTTTAAATAGTGTTTTCACACAAAACCGTTGGAAGTGCGTCTGTTATCCGATTACAATCGATAGTCCGATAGGTATCTAAAAAGATATTTCTGATACATATGTATGTATCAAGCGCGTAGTTACCCGTCAGGTGCCATGTACAACAAAAGTTTTTCAGGCGTTTAATTTTTTTTTAATAAAAAAAATAGTCGAGGCTTTTTTATATTTATTTATTTATTTATGTTGTACAAATACCGGTTGATAAGCAACAAGTAGTAAAATTACATAAAATTCAAATCCCGCTTACGTTAATTACTATGCCTCTTTTTTTTAACCTTATTTGTAGCTTTAAGCCTAGTACTCAGTTCGGAAAAGAACTGGTATTTTGTGGTATTGATAGTGTTTGTGTGGTATTCGTTGGTATGTTGCTAGCAGCTCTACAAGTATAGATCTGATATGCATTGCGAGAGGGTAACTAGCAAGCAGATTTATTTAAACTTAACTTATTTGAAAGCCAATAGTTTCATGTTGCCAAGACACAGCCCCTGCTGGGCTGTTAACAAAATGCTTGAAGTTGTTTTCCTTTTGGGTCCAATTACTGCTCCACAGGGTCGTGACAAGGGGCGATGGCGACGATTTGGACTCGAAACTTTTCAATTTTGGATATGGACGCCATGAGCCTAAATATTCCTTGGCACGGCCTTGTTGCTTCACCAATCAAGGAAGGCTGTGGATGTTATTCCCAGACATATGCAAACTGCGGAATGTGCAAAGGGTATTGGTTTTCAAAGGGTTTCCATAAATAAAGACATTTTTATCTGATTTATAATACGCACATGTACAGACAAACGACCTTCCCCCTTTTTTTCCTGCAGGTATGGGTTTACTCAATTCCTATTTCGTTGATTGTCCTCCTCCTACGCTAATGCAAGAGCCGCCAATCCCACTAAAAGTAAACTCCTGCATGGATCCATTTTGCTTTCATTGTTTTATTAACCTCTTATTCACTTTTCAAACATTTTCAAAAGGTAAACAAACCAAACGGTGTTCTGAGAAGTGTAACGGAATGCGGTGTTCACCTTTGGTCACACTCTGCCGCTAGAAAAATATATTGCACTGTTTGCTAGCAAATGTGTTTTTCGATCTGAGACTAGGCTTTCACCTATTTTTTTTAAAACTCTAACAAAGCAAAGTCTTGAAAACTAGGCAATCTTGTGTGGAATTGATTGATAAATCGGATAAAATTATAGTTTCAGCTCTGACAGTTCTAAATAGCTGATAGTATTAATCAGAATTACAAAATAGAGGAAATTGTTTCGGGATTTGCGGTATATTTTGGTATATTTAAGAGGCCCTGACGGTATATTTTATCGATAGGTCCGGCTGGCTCCAATGAAAATTAGCTTTTGTTTTTGTTGTTTGGAGCCAAAACTTCGAAGCCAACAGTAAACATAGCTCCACATCGCGTTATATTCCGCCTGCCTGCGTTCGGCGTGCATGTATATTTCCGTGAAAAGAGTCTCTTCTTAGTCTGAACAGCAGCAACGACAAACGAAAGCCAACCAAACAGTCGGTGCGGTCGGAGTGAATGTGCAAAAGTCAAACAAACAAAGTGTTGCTTATGTTTTTGTGTGTCTCGTCTTCATCTCTTCCACCTCGCAGAACCAGAAACTGAAAGCGAATCCCCGAACGTTCCCGCACCCGCATCTACATCACTGATCCAGTCCGAGTCCGACATAATGGCCAATTTCGACGATGTGAGTGTTGTTCCAGTGCACAGCGAAAAAGAAAAAAATATATAACAATTATTAGCACACAAACGAACTGTTTGTATTGTGCACGTAACGAACATTATGCCTTATTGTGTTTGATTTTATTTTTATTTTGAATTTTTGGTTTTCGTCGACATCGTTACCTTCCCTCTGTATGCGTGTTGCATGCTCTCATCACATCACTCTCGGTTATTACGAATGTGAAAAACCAACAACTGAACTGAACGCCGCCGAATCCAATCCCCCCCCCCCCCCCCCCCAAAAAAAAAAAACAAACAAAAAAAAAAACACAACCCCCCACCCCATCAACCCCCCCCCCCCCCCCCCCCCCCCGCCCAACACAAGAGAACAAA